TTTATTTATATATATATATATATATATATATTACCGCTATGTCAACTCACTTTTACAACTTATGTAAATACTTTTTTAAATAAAGATGATTGCTTTACAGATCTGAACCTTCCCTATCCGAAGATGATTGATGTAGCTGTCCCTGCGAATATGGTCTGCGGTTTGCAGGACTTGTTGGCAAAGCAAGTTGAGGCTGTGTCAAACTAGATACAATCAGGTACACATTGTACAAAAAATTGGTGAGAAACAGTCATCTTAACTGGTTCATATAATTCTATAATTTTAAGTCTCATTTAATTCGTGAATTTAAATTAAATATAATGTTTTATGATTTTTTATTGTAATAAAAAAAATTAAATGTGACTTTTTATAAAAATTTTTAACTGTAAAAAATTAAAATTAAAAACTCAAATCGATAAAATGAAGAGACTTTATTTTCTAAACCTAAACTTGCATGTGATGTCCCTAAATTGGTTACTTTCAAGATAACTTCTACAAAGTCTTTAGGTTTGTTCAGTTGTATTTTTGAGTTATAATGACTTGAGTGTAAATCTTGAGTTGAATTTGAATTATAACTTGAGTTGAAGTTGTAATTTGAGTTTGCGTTTGGTTGTGTACATTTGAGTTATAATTTGAGATAAGAATCTTCTTGAGTTTGTGTTTAGGTGAGTCAAAATTTGAGTTTGTATTTAGATAGTATTTTTAATAAAAACTCAATGATGATGGAAAATTTTAATAGGGTATATAGATGAGATTTTATTTGTCTTTTCGTTGTGAACGCATAAAAAATCATCTCAATCGTAATTAAAACAAAAAAGTTATATCGCTTTTAATAATATAAACAATATTGTTCATTAATTTAAATTTGAGTTTAAGAACTTGAGTTGAAGGAAAAGATTGAACTCAGATTTTAACTTTAAACTCAAGTTAATACTTAACTTCAAATTCAAATTTTATAAAAGAACATGAATTTAAATAAAATTATAATTTGAGTTTAAATTTTTTAAAATTTAAGTAGAAATGAAGAAACCCTCTGGCTTCTCTTGCACATTCATTGAAAAAATTGTTACTTTACTGACTTTTATACTTTAAAAAAAAAAAAAAAAAAAAAAAAGAAAACGAAATGCCTGAACCGAGAATGACTATCGACTACATCAAAATTATTGTTTTCTGTTTGTTTAATAGTTGTTTGGGAAAAATGGTGATGTGTTAAAGCAGTAGTTTTTTCCTTTTTGTTAATTTTCTACATAGTATAGCACCCAAAAAAAAAAAAATTATGGTTTTGTATCTTTTGCCTTCGACAGAGTGGTTATTATTTTAAGGTTTCGTTTATTTTATTTATTTGAATTTAGAATTTGGGTTTTATTACAGTAAAAAGTTTTAAAAACAGTCACATTTAACTTTTTTATTACAATAAAAAATTTTCACATAAATTCACATTTCAATTCAAATTAAAAATTTAAATTAACGAATTAAACATGTCATAAGTCTAAAAAAATAATATGATTCTTATGTTTATGATACTTCAGTTTCACTCAGCTATGAAGATATCTTGTTTTCATCAAAATGCGGTTGATTTCATCCTTGATCTACCTGTTCTTTAGAATTTGGACACTTTTGGATCCATTCTTGAGAAGCATCGAATCTTAAGACCAGGAGCACCGTCTCATGTTCCGGCAAAAGAAAGGACGTAAAACAGCAATGTCATGTACAATAAATAATCCCGTTTTTTTGAACGGAATTTACGCTCTTAGTTTTGGAGGCCTCTATGAAGTGAATTTGTATGTTTTCCACCCTTCCCGTAATTATTAACATTTTTCTTATCTTATTAAATAAGGGGAAGAACTGGGTGGCAGACATACCTTTATAATTAAATCAAAGCATTCTTCTTATTCTTCTTCAAATACATTATTAATTATTAATTTTTTTTTTATACCCACCCGCGCCTTCCAAAACCCATTCCTCACCGACTCTGTTTCATACCGTTTGGCCTCGGCAAATGCATTATTATTACGGGGTCGTGTGACTTTAAGCCATCAATTACTGACGTTCATAGACTTTTCCATCTCAAACTTTATTTCCTATCCTTTACTTGTACGGAATGTTTGAAGCAGTTTTGGTTTGCATTCCTAACTTGACTTTATGAGAATCCTTTTACCATGAGTTTACTACTTCTTTTTCGTATTCTTTTTTCTTTTTTATTACCATTAATGTTTGTTTGCCTTATTATATGTGAACCAAATTAAAAACCCGTTTGGCTGGAGGATTCGTTCTCTGATTCGAATCATAATTCATGATTCGTTATAGTATTTTTTCTCACAAAAAAACACACATAAATTAAAAATAATTTTAATCTCATAGTTCGTGATTCGTTATAGTATTATCGTCTTTGTCAAGAACCAAACGCCAAGATATCTCCACATTTGCCTCATTAAAATTAAGTCAAAAGTGGGGTAATCAGTGTTTATCCTTTACAATTGCACTTACACGGCAGGGGCTTAGCTGGTTGCCAGTCTTTTTAACATGTTTTAGGCTTTCTGGTGGACTTTTATAGAAGCAAAGATGGCCAAAGGGAATTCAAACTTTTGACCTCTCTCTCTCTCTCTCTCTAGAAGTCTTTTTCATTGAAGGCTTTGATATAATTGACTAATGGGTTATCCACCGAAGACGATGCTAATTTTGTTTTAGAAAAGGAAAAAAAGAGAGAAAAAAAAGATTATCTCTCTCTCTCTAGAAGTCTTTTTCATTGAAGCCTTTGATATAATTGACTAATGGGTTATCCACCGAAGACGATGCTAATTTTGTTTTAGAAAAGGCAAAAAAGAGAGAAAAAAAAAGATTATCTCTCCCTTTAGTATTTCCTTCTTGTTGTATACTTCTTTCCTTGTCTTCTTTGCTCTATATAACTACGAGTCTACTACCCTGTTATTGATTTAGTAAGTTTTAATTAATCGCTTTCTCTAGTTTCAGCGCTACCCATATGATAAAATATTTTATCTGAATTATCTTAATATATTGGTTTGGACATGAACTAACCGATATTATTGGACTTGTTCAGTCACATGAGAAACATGCAATTGCATTTTTTTTTAAAAGATAAGAAAGGGAAAAGAGATTAACATGCAAGAAAACCCGTCTAGCGAGAGCCCATGAAAAGTTCAAGGGGAATTCTATGCAGAGTCATTTAGGGAGAAGGAGGGAAATAATAACATATTTTGAAAGGAAGATAAATATTAATAGCATAATTTATGGAGTATAAAAATAAATAGCATATTTCACATTAAAAAAAAATACAGATTTCCCCTCTTGTCCTTCCTAGAACTACTATCCCAAATTCTTCTTAAAAAAAATAACTACTATAAAAAAAAAAAAAAAATCAAACCAAATCACTCATAAGTATTTGAATGGTCAAAATAAAACAAAAATAAAACAAATCACTCATAAACAGTTTGGTAGCTTGGTGGTTAAAGTTGAAGATTACGAAATATCAATAAATAACAAAAATTTTAAAACCTTTATTTCATAAAAATAAAGATTAAATTCAAGTTCACAATATAATTCAAAAATAGTAAAAGATCCTCATTTAAAATTTTAAAACAAATCAATAAAAATATAATGCGGTGTATTTTATAGGCATAGAACCTATATTATGCCAAATAAAAATTAACATATATATAAAAAAAAAAAGTTTTGAAAACAAAAAAATTATTTAAGCGGATTATAAGGCGGTTTGAGAATCTCCAAATTGTTAACCAAACTTTCTACCAAAATTAGACTTAAAAACCTCTGAAATTACTCAATAATCTAAAAATAATATATATTTCTTATACTCCACCACAGGGTTCTCATGAAAAGAAAAAAAAAAAAAATCAAAAGGCCTTAGCTAAGCAAATTGGAAAGCCTCGAATAAAGAATTTGGCTTCATATTTTCATGGCATGTGTACAACAATTAGGAGAAAACCGTGGCCTTGGTAAATTGGCATTCACATCAATCCAAATGGTAAAAGACAAGTTCTCTCGTTGGATTGTCGCATTGTTCAAAATCTTTTACGTCCTCCAAGAAACAATAACTTCATGTAGCTCTTTTAAATTTTGGCTTGATGGTAACTCATGAAGCCAAATCAATATAACGTGATTGCGTGTTGGGAATGCCACAAACTTATGCCTACCTATATTTGTGTGTCAAACAAGAATTCTATCTTGGCCACAAAATATTTTTATATCATTTTCTAATTTTACACGCTCAGATTTTAATCATAAGAATGGAGGCATTTTGAGCTTTCATGCTGTCCATGTGTTTGGAAATATTTTAAAAACATTTATCAGGGATAATATTAACATCAAGTTGTTAGAAAATGGCATATCTACAGATGAATTGACGTGTTTCATAGTTCAATTGCTAACATTCTTGTTGTACAAGCTTAAATTTAACACGTTTTGACCTAACTTAATTTCCGACCTTATCAAGAGAACATCTTACCATGTAACAAGACTTATAGCCTAATATTTGAGAAAAACTAGGAATGTCTTATTGATCAAATGCAATCATACAAGCAGAAAATCTCATGACAATGATATGTAGTTGTTGTTTTTTTTTCCTAAATGAATATGTAGTTTAACCTTTGACCAAATAAAACACTAGTATTGGAAGCAATTTTTACTTTTTACATAAACCTTCGAGATAGATCAATGAGTCAATCCTATCTACCACTCATTTTTCTTTGACCAGAATACTATTATATTATATATATGAAATGCTGAAGTTTTTGTTTTAGATTTATAAAAAACATATAGTTACATAGATGCTTTATGAAAAAGAAGATTTTAAAATGATATCTTAATAATATCTTTTTCATATTAATGTAGGGAATTTTTTTTTTCTGGCGTTCCCTTTTTTTAGGAATACTAGTATTCCTTTCTTATCAGCCATCAGATATGTATTAAATCTGATCAAAAGTTAAATTAGATTGAAAAAATAATATAAATTTAACGACTGATAAGCAAGAAACACTGATATTTTTAAAAAAGATGAAACACCGGAGAAATTATCTTACTTCAGTATGTGCTAAACCAATTCAGTGGGGTTATGGGGGAAAAAAAATCTTTCATTACTGAGCCTAGCTAAGTTTCGCAACTTGTTGCTTACCATTTGAATGCATGGGAAGAAAAGGATATATGCTAATGCTAGGGCTTTTTTTTTTTTTTTTTTTTTTTTTTTTTTTTTTTCCTTTTCAAATGTAAGAGCCAGCTTATTAAATAATTTCTTAAAACAACAAATATTTCGGTGGACTTAATTTGTGCTTTAGAGTGTTTAATATTGTGGGTGTGTGTATATATATACATGTACATATCTTCTATATATTAATACAGTACGTATATATGTATATATGTAACTGTGTGTATACCTATGGATAGTGTTGAAACTTTGGGCCGGCGGGCGTCTCGAAGCCTGAATTTTTTGGGCTCGCTGGATAGACCTAAATGCCAGCCCGTTCAACTCCATTTTTCAGGCTCGGGCAGCCCAAAAATGGACAACTCGCCGGAGCCCGTCGCCGTGATATCGCCGTCAACCACCGTCCACCGAAATTTTTTTAAATTTTTTCACTCAGGCCCGAAGCCCGAGCCCGACCAACGGATATATTTTTGATCGTTGGTGCCTGACCTGACCCGAATTGCCCGAATCCAACGACCATTTTTTTGACCATTGCCCGATTTTCACCCCGCCCGCCTAAACCCGACCCGTAGAGAAAAAAAATAACCGTTGGATCCGAATTTGGGAGAAAAAATCAAATTTTTAACCCAAAAATTTTCCTATAAATACCCCTCATCCCCCACACATTTTTCTTACTCAAACTCTCTCAATCCCTCTCTATTTCTCTCAATCTCTCAAATCTCTCTCATAATTTTTCTAAAAACTATCACAATATCCCTCTCAATTTCTATTCACACGATAATAGTAATCCAAATTCAAGTAAAATTGAATAGTTATCTTTAGTCACTATTTTGATAGTTATCCATTTTTAATAGTTATCTTTAGTTTCTTTTTAGATTTAGAGCTTGTTTAAGAGTCAAATAAGGCATGTTTATCTAAAAGGATAAATTTCTTTTGTTTAGGATAGAGTTTGAATTTATGTAATCCAGCCTATTAATAGGCGTGATTCAAGAGTTAATGACATACAACAATATTTTTTTTAAGTAAAAGTTTGAGCATATAGATCGGGTGAAACCCGTCGACCGTATTTTTCGGGCCTAAATTTGTGAATTTTCTTGAGTCTCGGAGGCTTTTAAGTTTTTTTAGGGCTATCTTGAGAGCAAGAATCGTTGAAAACAGAGATTATTGATAAGTTCTTGGTGAATTATCTAGGGGATTATGATTCTTGTTTGATTAGTTTGTAAAGAACCTATAGAAAATTAAATTGAGCGAAAAAAAAGAGTAGTGAAGATTAATAGAGGGTAATAAAAAAAATGAGGGTTGAGTGATTCACATTCTTGAGTGAAACACGTGAGGGAGTGTTGTGAGGTCCCGTTGTTTTCTTTTCTCTTTTCTAACCTTAATTTGCAGCCAATATGTCCAACATGAAGGAGAAGAACACTTCCGAGGAAGCATTGGGGAAGTTTGATCCTAAGCTTTTCATGGAGGCTATGATGGGGGAGATGAAGAGATTGATGAGGGAAGAGTTGGAGCCAGTTCATGAACGACTAGATCGGATGGAGAATGCATGTATGGAGCAGCCGCAAAACGCTCCTAATGTGCGTAGGAGGGAAAGAGTTCAACTGAGGAAAGTGAAGGTTGAAGATGAAGAGTATTATGGGGTTGGTTTTGATGAAGAAGATGATCGGGATTCGATTGTTGGTAATAGGAGATATGGAGGGCGGTTTAGAGAAGCTAGAAATCGGGAAGATAACAACTTGGGTAGTATTAAGATGAAGATTCCGTCGTTTCTAGGTAGATTTGATCCCGAAACATACCTTGAGTGGGAGAAAAAGATGGAGTTCGTATTTGACTGCCATAACTATTCCGAAGCAAAGAAGATAAAACTAGCTGTGATTGAATTTTCTGACTATACTATTACTTGG